TGGGGTTAAGTGTGAGGGATATAAGAAACAATGCCTAACTACAGTCTCACACTTAATTCTCTGCTGTCTGTTCATTCTGCATAGGTAGATAGTTAACTTATGACAAAACAAGTTACTTCTACAACAAATGAATCTTTTCACCAGAAAGCATTCTTATCCTCCATAATAGCACAGTAGAGGCAAAGGAAAAGACCATTATGAAACTCGACCCACCAGAGAGAAGCTGTTCTCTGAGCAGTACATACATCGCATCGTGTTCTTATCCAATCAACAAAAACATCCTTATTGCTCTAGTCCAGTGTTTCACAAACAGTGCTGCACAGAACATTGGTCCCCTGAGATAATCTCTGAAAACAGTTTTGGGCCTAAATATGATTTGTAAACCCAGCAAAACGCAGCCCATTGGTAGAGACTCAGAATCCATAAAGGCCCTAGGAAGCTCTGCTGGGAGGATGCTCCGCTTTATGGTTAACTCAGCATCTCCCACACTCATCTGATCATCATTTCGCCTCTTTAACAGAACACCTTGTTTACTCCAGTGGACAAAGACCTCCACAATCCAGCCTGGGCTCACGTCTGTAACTCACAACTCTTTATGGACCACCATGAAGCTAGAATCTGCCTGTTAACTGTGCCCAGACCGTGCCTTTTTTCATGACTTTCTCAATACAACACACACACACACACACACACACCACTCACACCCCACATCAGAAATCACTTCCTCGTGATGTGTCCTTGTCCCTCAAACTGCAACCCCAATGTCTCAGTAAAGTACAAGGATATGAGTTCAGATCCCCAGCGCCTACATAAAAACTTGGAAATGGCAACATTTGCTTGTAATCCCAGCACTGAGCAGGTAGAGCAGAAGGATCATTAGGATCAGACAGACCAAACAATCAGTAATTCAGGTCCGATCAGAGACATCTCAAAAAATAAGGTAAGATTAACTGAGGGAGATACCCACTGTCAACCTCTGGTCTTTGTACACATATGTACACATATGTATACACATGCACACAAACACATGCAAGAAAACTGATACTCTACATCTTATTCATTTTCCTACTCTTGACATTTTGTATCAATGGAATCTTAAAATATAAGGCTTTTGGGTCTCTGTTCTTTTAGATGCCACATTTCCAAGGCTCATAAAAATAGTAGTATGCGCACGAGTTCTTTGTTCCTTTTTATGCCCAAGTAACATTCCATTGTACGAATAGTCTTCATTTTGCTTATCCATTGACTGAGAGATAAACATCTAAGTTGTTTTTAGCTGGTACACTTACAAATTTTTATTTATTTTGGGGATATATTCAAGAGTTGGATCATGAGGCCATATAAAAACTTTAACTTTTTAAAGAATTGCTCATCTATTTACCACAGTGGCTACACTAAGTCACAATTCCATGGGAAATGTGTAATAACTCCAGCTTCTCCACATCCGGGCTGACTCCTACACATGATTCTGATTCTGGCCTTCAAGAGGAACCTTCCTGTGATCTGGTCACCATGTGTCAGATGTCCCACTTCTGAGGTGACGGTCAAGCTGATCCAGCTGCCCAGCTGCCCTCCTTCTCACTCCCTGCATCAGAGTGATTCTTCAGGACCAGATGAGACCCTGGTTTTCTCGGTGTGTGTCTACAGCATTGTCTCAAAACTCAATTCAGATGACACTGGCAGTGGGTTTTGTTTTGTTTTTTTTCTATCTAGTTTCTAGTTATTTCTGTTTCTACTTTCCACAGGTAAGAGGTTCAGGGTCTTCCTGTGTTTTTTCCCCCAACAGTGAGCTCCTCAGGAGTGGAATAAAGTATGACCTCAGTTGATGCGGAGTCTGCCAAAGAATAAGCATTCACAGACACAATGCGAGGAAGGAGCTGAGGCTGGGAAAAATGATGCAGATGGCATTTGGGTCTCACAGCAAGTGAGAAGAGCCCTAGGTACTGAGCTGAGCATTGGGCAAGCCCCTGTCCCTATAGAACTAGTTCTTCCACAGAGTCACAGGTGTGTCATTTCTCACTGTAATAACCACCTCCTTTTTTGTGAATTCACATTTATGTCTAAGTCTAGACTTGGTGGACATGGTTGGGATAGTGACCCAATCCTCTCTTCCTGGTGTCCCCTCTTTCTCGCTCAGGCTTTGACAGTCTCCTCTCTCTCAAAGAATCCAGAGTCTCATGTCACAGCCAGAAAGAAAACAGTGTCCAATGAAGGAGTCCCCAAGTCTGAGAGTGACTCAGCTAATACAACAGAATGGCTTCCAAGAGCTCCTGCCTGTGGCCGTATGCCCTGGGGTTTACGCTACTGTGTGTTAATGGGCAAATATTCAATTCAAACTTCCATGAAATGATTTGACCTCACCATGGGACCCAGCGGGTATGACTCTCAACTTGAAAACCTCGAAGGAAATTCTTAAGCAAATTCTTTCTTCACTTTAATATCGGAGCCTCTCACTCATCAAGTTCATTACCCTTGGCGAGATGGGCCCACAGCACCAGCACCCTAGACTCCTCCATGCCCACTCCTCCTAATGGGTGTCAACACGGACCAGGCAAGCAACACAACCTAAGTGTAGTACGACCATGAGCCCAGTGGTAGGTACAGAGGGAGAAGATGCATACCTCTGGGGCTTAAACCATAGGCTAACGGTCTGGCAAACCCATCTGATGGGCTCCTTGTGGCTACTGAGAGAGGCTACTCCATGCCTCTCCTAAGTACCTCACTGTTAGGTTGGGGAGAAAACATTGGAAGACTCTAAACTGCTTAACTGCAGAGAGCAGGAATAGAAACCCATGGAGATAAAATATCTTTTGCCTTTGAAGAGAATAAACTTTTTCCAAGTGTGTTTCTAAGTTAATAAGATGCCTTGAAGTCATTTAATACTATGCACCAAGCCTGCTTCCCTACTGCATGCTCGGCCTGTTTACATTAGAGCACCGCAGCCAACCTTACTTGTCTTGGATTGCCTATGTAATCAGCTTTTACAAACCCAAGCTAGTGCATAACATAATCTTAAATTATATACTCCTCCATCACCTTAACCCACAATTGTGGGGGTGAGGGTGGTGTTGTGGTAATCACATTTACTAAAAGCAGCCAACATGTTGAAAACAACCTTAAAACAAAACAAATATCCCTTAAGTGTTGTAAGTAACATGTGGTTATAGGTTGTAATTTGTTAGCAGTTTGAGGTGCTCTTCTGGGTCAGTTGGGGTCAGTTAAGTGGCCTCGTCCTTTGTAAGACTCTGCTACATATCTGTAAAGGTCCCTCATTTCTTTCCCATGTCATGTTTTCTGTAAAAAAGGAGCAAAGCCCTTTGCTAGGGAGAAGCATACACACAGAGATGTAGAACAGACACATGTAACACACAGATTACAGACAATCCAGTAACAACAAACTACAGACAGAGAGAAGACAGGAGAGGGCAGAGAAGAATTAAGTCTGGGCTTGTTCTTGGTCAAACTAATCCAAGAGGAACTATCTGCTTTCGTTCCTTAACGCAAATTCAACGTGAAATCTTTGCTGACATGCAGCAACTTCTGGAATTCCTAAGTGTGACTGGCCCAGTCGATGACATCCATAAAAGAACAAGGTGAGAGATTTGTCTCTCTGTGCCTCCTGTTTGAACTCTCTGTCTGTTAGACAGTCCAGCACCATGGAACCCCAATCTCCTGTCTCACAACCATAAAAAGAAGACAGGCCTTCATTCCTCACACCAAACAAGTGCATTCCCCTCAAGCACAGGGCCCTGGCCAGTCCCCAGGCTTCTCTCAACTGCAACACACCAAGAATTCCACAATGACTGGCACAGGACTGCGTGCTGGCTCACACATCAGCACCCACTACATTCCTCGTCACACCTGTGAAGAGGTTTGTATCAATAGGCCGGCCAGTACGGGGTGTCTGGATCAGCTCTGGAAGGTGAATTTGGTGCTTGGTGTGCGTTACCACATTAGATAGGGCAAAGGTGACAGTCACCATATTTTGGACCCATAATTACAGATCATTGTTTATTAAATTTCTTGGTTCTCTATCATTTAGTATGAGTGAGTATAGTTGCTAGTAAGCTTACATTATAAGCTAGTAAGGAACCTCAGAAAACTTCCTCATGGAAGATTTAAGTGAGCTAAAATTTATGGGGTGAAAATTCATTGTAGCAGAGACCCCCTTGGAGTAGGATTCTCCCACAAAATCACCTACTCTTCAAAAGTCCATCTCCCCAAAGGGCTTTGTGATGTTGGGGCTCTACGGAGACACTCTAATTGTGGCAGGAAATATCCAATCTGCAAGAATCTAGAACTAACTGGGAAATACATTTCCCATGGGCACTGATTAACTGATAAAATATCTTCCTCTTCTTGTGTCTGGGTAGTCTTAGAGCATCAGGAAGCCCATTCTGTGATGACCCAGATCCACACCTATTATTCAGAACTAGGAAGGGAGGAAGGGAAGGAAGGAGAGAGAGAGAGAGAGAGAGAGAGAGAGAGAGAGAGAGAGAGAGAGAGAAAGAGAGAGAGAGAGCTGCTCAAGCACCCAAACAGAATTCTACTTTCAGGCTCAAAACTGAAATACAGCTGCTCACACACAATTCTGACTTCCACCCGCAAAGCTTGCTACCTCAACAAGTTGTCAAGGAGTCCTTGTTTCTTCAAGGGTCTTCAGTGAGAGGATGTGGACTGGACTGGACTAAGTGAATGGTGATGCCATGAAACGGTTCTATTACAGCCACAAGGAGGAAAGCCCAGAAGCAGTCAGGGAGAGGGAAATGCAAGGGGTTAGTCCACGGCTCAAACCTGAACTAAAGCTAAGCAGGCCCTGTTTCCAGGTGCACATGGGTGAGAGAAAGAATCGAGGGGACAGAAACCTGGGTGGCTTTTCCTTCCAAGAGGCTCCTCAAGTCCCAGCCTCACCACCCTTTAAACTATGACAGTCAAGCAAAGAAGACACTTCCCTTCATGCACCTCTCTCAGGGAACTGCTGAGTTGAGGTTGTCTCTCACCTGGCCATCTGCTTATAGGCTTCTTCTGCCACAGCAAAGATGTGGGGGTCCATGTCACCCATATTTTGGCCACTGTAGGCATAAATGACATCTTGTCCATAGATGGGCAGCTGCTCGTATGGATTGATGGCGACCAGCACAATACCTGTGAACAGACAAGACAGCCCACTAAAGCACCCTTCTCATGTGCTACAGATGAAGAACTGGAGGAGAGGGGACTCTAGCCAATCGACTACAGAAAGAACTGTCTGTGGGCTCCCATGGTAGGCCCTTGTGGCGAAAAGGATGAACAGGACACAGTCCAGGCCTCAGGCTGTCCCACAGGAAACCCACAGACACACTAACATTCACAAGGACTCCACAGTCAAGTTCATAAAATAGACACAAAGTGTTGCAGGACCAGAGAGAGGAGGAGGCTTAACTTAAAACTCTACCTGAGAATTAAAATCTGGAGACGACATTTCCCCTCATTTATATATCAGCTTTTAAACAAAAAGATAAACTTGAGGACTACACAATTTACCTGTCATCAATGACTGTGAACACTGAGTACTTACTTAGTCTCTGTGCGCCTCTGCTATATAGTGTGGACAATATACACACGGAGCTGGGACTTCCTCAAGAAAACACAGGCATCGGAGAGAAGGAAGCCCCGAGCTGTGCCCTGCACGGGAGCCTCTGTGTTCCCTCTCTATTAGATCACACCTCGAGTCCCTGCCCCCAGCTCTCCCAACATCTGCACTACAGCAGACGGAAATATGTTGACAGAGCAAGGACCAAATCCTGTTTGGTTTTCAACCTCTTTTGTGGATAGGTGGGGTAAGATGATCACTGAGAATGCACAAAGGAAGAAAAGCAAATTTGATCTTCAAGAAATGATAGAAATATGTCTTTTTCTCTCCCAAGAGACTGCATTCCTTATATCCAAAGATCCACGGACTAAGGTACAAACATAGACCATTTCCAGTCATCTTGGAATGAGGAGGAGGGGCTGCCATGCGGAGAAGTTTCCCTCCTAGTGGTCAAGCGGGAAGGTAGACACATGCATGTCTGCTTTCAACAGGAATTTGAAAAACAAAACAAAACAAAAACAACAACAAAAAACCAGCACAAAAGGGACCAGAGCCCTGAGACATCCCACCGAAGCTAATCACTTGGAGAACACTCTTAGGAGCAGCCAGCCATACAGGTTCTTCTGTTCTTCAGAGGGTTCAATTGAATCCACATGACACTCAGATGAAATTTTAATCTCCTGTCCTGAGGTCATCTATTTTCCCAAAACACTGTAGATCCCTCCAGAGCAGAGAGGAACACTTCCACGATGACTGCAATTCTGGGTGGCACTGGGTTCTGTTGAGAGCTGACGGGACACTGGATCAGCTGAGCAACCTCCCATCTGTACAGACACCAAGGCCACTCCAGGGGCGGTTCCCTGAGACTAGACAACTGATGGTCATTTACCCCTTCTCCTAAAATGAGAAGCTTCACATTGGAATGGATTTTATCCCCCCCCCCCCCCCCGAGTTTCCTGTAATTGGTATTTCTTCTAAATTAACATTCTCTACTGACGGGGTTTCTGAAAACCATTCCTTCTTAGCAAAGCAGCTCACCCCTGCCAGCTAAGTAGCCAATCCCCAAGGCCAAGTGGAATATGAAAGTGTAAAAGCCCCTGGTCACCTGAGCTGTCACTGCAGTCACAACGAGGCCACCGTCTTCGGGACAACACCTCAGACATCCCACACACAGTCTGGTTCCCTACCAGGCCCTGTTTTCCACAAACAACTGCTGGAAGGTTCTGTTCTCAACATACTACTAAACAATACTCAAGGGTGGCGGGGGCGGGGGGAGGGCAGAGAATATATCAAAATTTGGGCTACACACACAGAAATTTCAAGAACATTAATTTCAGGACTTTATGTTTTAAGCGTTTGTCATTGATTTTGCACATTATCTGAACAAAGTCTTCAAGCACCACTTTGTTACCTTGGCAGTGAGACACCATCAAGGAAGGCAGCCCTTTCAAACAGAAGGGGCAAACAAAACTCACATGGTACACATGCTTCCATGATGAGGGTATGCTTCAGAGTCAGGGTACCATGACGGACTTGCTCTTCTACAACCAACTACAAGCAAGAGCCTAAGCCAGCTTCCCCAGCACCTGTGGGTGGCCACTTCTCTGGCAGAGCTATTACTAACGTCAGGCAACCCACTAACCATAAACCTCAGTGGGTCTCATATGGAAGGGTCATGTGCACAAGAACAGAGTCTTGATTCTTGATGTTTGAGTTTCACAAGTGCTGGTTAAAAGATGACACCCCCTCCCCCAGCAGGTGCCCCACTTACCACAGTAAGTATAGATGTGGTTGGACTCCAGGAAACGGACCTTTAAGTTATGCAGAACTGCAGGCTCATGGAGATGGCTGAGTGCAGTGAGGTCATTTTCTCCTACTAAGATGTCTGGATTCCGTAAGAACGGCAACTGGTTATTTTGGACATCGATTGGGTATTCCCGAATCTAGTGACAAGAAGACAACAGACACATAAGAGCAAAGTTATGAAGCATTTCACTTATATATGGTGTCCCAGCTCTTTGGCTAGGATCACTATCCTAGCAAAATCCCAAGACACAGAGGTAAGTAATGTTCTAACGAAGACAAGGTGGACGCAATACCTATGGTTCCCACGAGGCACCAGGCGCTGTGGAACTTTGACTACATAATCCCAGCATGGCAAACACAGAAGACTGGCAGGAGAACTGAGGAAGCGCAACCGGATTTAAGGGTATTCGGCTGCTTAATAAAGAGGACCCTGGACTTTACATTCCAGTTAACACGGGGGGCTCTTTCTTCCTGACTAGCAGACCTTCTTAGACTGGCCTCATCTACTGCAGGTATTCTTTACTAGGTGTCTCTATTTGCTTTCTGTTAATTAATTTTTTCCATACAATATATTTTGATCATGGTTTTGCCCTCCGAACTGCCCCCAGAACCTTCCCACCTCCTTACCCATCCAACTTCATGATTCTCTCTCTCTCTCTCTCTCTCTCTCTCTCTCTCTCTCTCTCTCTCTCTCTCTCAAAAACAAAACAAATTAACAAAAAACCATTAAGTAGGAGCATGGAAGACAGTGGTGCTGAGGGGCATTTGAACTGTCGGGGACTGACTCAAGAGGATTCAGAGAAGAATGTAAGTTGCCTGGGGATCTTTCTTGTGATATTTTGGCAAAGTGAATGATCTTTGCCCTTTTCTGACAAGTCTGGCTAAGGCTAAAGTGAAGAGATTTGGATTAATTCCATTGGCAGAGGAAATCTCAAAACAGCCTAGTGTAGACTCTGTTGTGTGGTTACTAGTGCTCTTACTTATAAAGATTTATAATGAAAAGGAGCAAGCTGAGCAAGGAAAAATAAAAAAAAAAAGTGTACTATTTGAGGAGAAAAGGAGCACCAGGAAGTGGAATGAAACTAAGTCCTGTGTTTAAGGAGATACACATTTTGAAAAATGGAATAAAGGAAGTGGTCTTCTCAGGGCAAGTTCCCACCCAGCTAAACTTCCAACTTGTGAAAAGGAATTAAAGAAAAGCTTAGAGCCTGGTGCAGTGGTGCATGCCTTCAATAACAGCATGAGGAAGGCAGAGACTGGCGGATCTCTGAGTTTGAGGCCAGCCTAGTCTACAAGCAAGTTCCAGAACAGCCAAGTTTAGGCAGTGAAGGTAACCATCAAAACCAGAAAACTGGTGAAGATATAATTGAAAATCTTTGAGTTCAAGGCCAGCCTGGTCTACTGATCCAGTTTCAGGAAAGCCAAGCTTAGGCAGTGAAAGAAACCATTGAAAACAGAAAGCTGGTGAAGCTGTAATTGAACAAGAGGGCCGTGTTCCAGCCCCAGAAAGCAGCAGAACTTGGCAGCTTGTCACATGGTTCTGGCTTTAGAGTCAAGGATAGAAGAAAGTTTTTATGGACTCTTCCTCCATGACTAAGGGAAGCCAGAGGCCAGACTTGTGTCAGGGGTCTCCTTGTATGAAGGCCCTGAGAGGTCACTGTGTGAAGCTGTGAGGGAAAAGCCTGGATTGTCTTGGAGACCCCAAGATGTTAGTGATGCCAGAGCTGTAGGATACCTTCAGAGAAGAGCTGCTAACAGGGAGTGGAACCAGCCCAAGAGAAAGAAGGGTGTTGCAGTCAACAAAGCTGAAATGAATTAGAGCTGAAGAGCGCTCTGACATCAAACATGGAAATGCAGAGTTTGGAGTTTGCCCAACTGGTTTTCAGTCTTGTTTTGGTCCAGTATTTCCTCACTATGCTTCCTTCCCTTTGTTTTGGAATGCTAATGTACATCTTGTGCCCATTTATGTTGAAAGTATGTGATCTGCTCTTTGATTTTGATTTTATAGGGGATTACAGTTAAGCAATTGCACAAACCTCAGAAGAGACTTTTACCTTTAGACTTTTAAGTAAGTTTGAGACTGTTATAGACTATGGGAACTTTTGAAGTTGGACTGAATGCATTTTTGCCTTATGATACAACTACAAGCCTTTGGGGGTCAGGGAGTAGAATGTCGTGCTTTGAAAGAAAATGTCCCCCCAAAGGAGTAGCACTATTAGGAGGTGTGACTTTGTTGGAGTAGATGTGGCCTTGTTGGAGGAAGTGTACTACTGTGGGTGTGGGCTTTGAGGTCTCCTATGCTCAAGCTACTCCCAGTGAGACAGACCACTTCCTGTTCCCTGCAAGTCAAGATGTAGAAATCTCAGCTCCTTCTCCAGCACCATGTCTGCCTGCAGGCCACCATGTCACACCACAATGATAATGGACCAAACCTCTGAAAATGTAAGGCACTCCAATTAAATTTTTTTTCCTTTATAAGAGTTGCTGTGGTCATGTGTCTCTTCAAAGCAATAGAAACCCTAACTAGAACAATTGATAAATAAACTAGATAGAAGTTTAGGGGGAAATTAAGCCACAGTTCTCTTCAGCTAACACAAATTTTAACCAGAACCAAGAGAAAAATAAAGCCCAAAGGGAGGAAAATGAGCAAACATTTTAAGTTTCAGGGAGAAGACCTTCAGAAGGACACAAACGCCAGAAACATGTAGGAAAACACACGTAAGTTTCACTGTCAACTTTTCAACTGTCGCAAAGCACACCATTTGCCAAGACAAACTGAGTAGGGGGCCTGTTTCTACATGGTCTATGTGTTTCACATGACAAAGGTCTAGAAGAGACCACACCAACAGAAAGGTAGGTACAAGAAACAAACGCAAAGTTAGCAACAAATAGATGACATGTGAAAACTACTGATTGTGTCATGTTCTGTTGGATCTTTTGTTCTTTTCTAGTTTGAGATGGGGTCTTTACATTGCCCTGGCTGTCCTGGAACTCAATATATAGATCAGGCAGGCCTTAAACTCAGAGATCTACTGGCCTCTGCTTCCCAGTGCTGGGATTAAAAGTGTGTACTCTGATGCCTGGCCTCTTGGATCCTCCCTTATTTACATATGTATCAATGCCCCTCTGTGTCTTTGAAACCTCTGAAGCAAACCTTCTCCACACAGTAAACTGCTCAACAGTGGTCATGGAGATGTCACAGACAACAGTTTCAGAAGGTGAGAACAAGGAAACAGGGAGTGTGGAAGGCTAACTTTCAGCTCATGAAATACATTTTCTGAACAAAATGCCTAGGATCTTCAGCTTCTGAAGAGAAAGGGCTTCATTGGACTAAGGATTTTGGAAGGTTCTGTCGTGACCTTGTGGCTCCATTCCTTTCTGGCCTACAGCAATGCAAATCTTTATGGCAGAGAATGAACACTAGGGGAGAGTTGCTCAGCCTGCTGCAGCCTGGATACAGAGAGGAAGGAGAAGGGGACCAGGATGCCAATGCTTCTTCAAGGGCATGTCCCCAGCATCCCTTGTAACAGGTCTTCCTAAAGTTTACACCACTTCCTAAAAGGAACAGTCAGGCCTTCAACACAGGCGCCTTCATGGTATATTGGCCTTTGTCACCTGCTGAGTTAGTGGTATTGTGTGACTGTGCCAGATCTCCCTCCTAGAGCACTCACGCCATCCTGCCCCTTCGATTTTCAAACTGAAAAACTTTAAATTCGCCCCATGTCTTCACATCCCAGGGAAGAAACATGGGCTTTCCATCATTTCCAAGACAATCCTTCTCTCAGAAGACCTTGCCAGGCAGGAAGAGACAATCACATATGAAATTTTGGAAGGGCATATCCACAGATAAGCTAATGGTATTGGTTACAGAAAATTGATAAGGAATGAAATGCCTAGCACAGCACAAGGGAGGTCGGAGTTGCCAACTCAGCGCTCCAGGCCACAGATCCCTCCGCTTGCGGGTGTCCAGGGGGAGCAGGGAAGGGAGACTTAAGAATAGATTTCTTTTAGCCACTGACAACAGAAACTTGAATTTAGCATTGCTACCAGAGTCCAACATTCTCGGCTAATTCTGGCTTCAGAGGGCCTCAGCAAGTATTTCCAGCCCTATGACACGACATATGAGGAATGATGTGCCATACTGCCGCATTGCTCCTTAATGCTTTCCTACAGAGGTGAGGCCACACCATGCATAAAGCAGAGATGCCACCTCCTTGTACTGGCAGTGGGTGGGGGTTGAACCGGCCTGCGGACATCTTTCTTCTTTGGATAGCAACTGAACATCTGGATAACGGGATAACATCCTTTCACCACATCTGGATAACAATGGAACATCCTTTCATCCCAGCCCACTTGGTTCAGCTTAGATGAGTCACTGTGCAGGGAAAGCAGGTAGCTCTCTGCCAGTCCCCTGTCTCCACTGCATCCTCCCCCTCACTAACATGCACACAGGAAGTACTAAGGCTCCTAGGCACTCTGTACAAACTTAGTTGAAACCCAGCAAAGTGAAACCACAGAAACAGGGAGTTTTCAGCCAGTAGAGGGCAGGAGCAGAGCAGTTTACAAGGGAGGTGGGGAAGAGGAGAGAGCCCTTGACCTGCACGGAGCTCTGCTCTGGTCAAAGCATAGAGAGGACGTGCTCATCAACCCAAGGCTAGCATCCACGAAATGCCCAGCACCATCCAAAAGCAAAGAACCAGGCCAAGTATGAGCACATAAGCACATTCTGCTCGTCCTGACTCTAGAGAGGGAAAAAAAAAGACAGATGACACCATCCTTTTCTCCAGAGAAGTCACCATCTTCTCTCTCCCTGTCTGCCAAACAGAGCATCTTCCATTCTGCTAAGTGACCTAAGCCAGAGGAACCAGCACCCATACCACAAGTCTGTACTTGTATGAAGTACCTAGTGCAGCCAGGGTCAAAGGCAGAGGGTGGCAAAGTGGCAGGCTGAGACGGGAAAGGTGTTCAGTGGAGGCAGTTCCAGTTTTGCCGTATGGAAAAAGAGCATGGTAACCATGGCAATAGTGCAAATGCCACTGAACTGTTCACGTAAAAATGGACCACATGGTTACATTTATATTCCACAGTTAACTAGAAGAAATAACTGAGCAAGAGTGGGAGGGGGCATCTTAGATGGACAGTAAGAAGTCTGAATACCTTATCAGAGGAGGCCGTTGGCAGCAAAGCACGTGGTCCTGCTATGAGCCTGGGTTTGGAATGCAGCTTTTCTAGCAGAAAATCGGACCTACCTTTTTTGCTCTTTGCTTCTGCACTAAAACCAACACCATTTTACCTTGGAGGCTAGAAAGTCTACCAGCGTAGTCTCACAGGATGGCTTCAGCTTCAGAGGAAATGCTTTCTAAGCATCCAGCCATGCCATGCCTGTGGCCCCCACCTCCAGTATATAGTGCTCCATCACTCTCGGGGCCAGCTTCATGTCAGTCATAACCCATGGGCAACAGGGAGAGACCTCGCATGCTCAGAGCCTATGCTGATCTCCAGCCCCAGGCTTTCTTCCAGTTCCGCAGTGACCAGTCCCATAGCCGGAGAGGAAGAGAAGGGCCGTGGGCAGCTGCCAGGATCTGCCATGCAGGGCCAAAGCTGTGTGCAGCCAGGGACACAAGCATCTGCTGTTTTAGCAACATGACAGCTCATTCCTCACTGCCTCATCGAGCTTTTAAAAACACCCACCCACTTGAAAAGACCAACTGAAGTGAAATCTGTTGGAGTACATAGAAGGCACACTCCATTCGAGTGGGTGGGTTGATTTCATTCTGTTTCAGGTGTGGGGTGGGAAGTTATTCCACATGGTAAACAAGATTCCATCTGCTGGCGGATTTGCTTTTTCCCCCAGAACCAAGAGATGACCAGCACAGCCTGTCAGCTCGAGGGTGGAGGACACACTGACCACCTCAAAGTCACCTGCCCCAGTGTCCTACTCCAAGTGACACCCTCGAATTCATACAGAGCGGGGTGGTGGCTGGAGAACGTGCAATCAACAGGTTGCTCAGCCAGCCGTTGGGAGTGGGAAACGGAACAAAATGCTTTGAAGAACGAACAACAGCAGGGCAGTTAATAATTCACACAATGCAGACATTCCAGGCACTGGGGCTCCACACAAGGCTTCTGTCCACTCTGTGCCTGCTCTGCAGCCCATCTATGTATCCGTCTCAAAGCCCGTTCTCCATGTCATCCCACCACTTCGTCTAAAACCAGCCTCCCTATGCATACCCTGGATAAAATGGTTGCCTGTCACCTCATAGGCCACCTGGGTCCTGGGTTCACTGGTTTACCTTCCTTCCCTGGTCCACATACAACACTGGGGTCTTGGGCATTGGGCACACATAGCTCCTGCATGAACATTTCCAACTGTTGGCCCCAGGTACCCTGAGCCCAGGCTCCCACCACCTGTCCTGTTCCTGGGGATTGTTTCCTCCTCTGCTGAGGCCTCAACACAACAAACCTGTTCCCTTCACTCCAACATAAAGACTCCTGTCTGAGCTCCCAGTGGAACTTCAGTTGCTAACCTGAGTGGGCACTTATTTCTTAGGTGGCATCCATGAAGCTGACTCATGGGTTGGCACTTGTCACATACACTGTCATCAACAGTGACAAAACAAGGATTTGCAGCTCAGAAGCTCTGATGGGCAGACAAACCTAACCACAATATACCATCAGACCCAACCAGGGCGGATGCTGGGTCCCCACCATGAGAACCAGCACTTACTGTGTCATCTTCCAGTCTCAGCTGCAGGCTCTTGTCCCCCTCTTTGTAGTCCTGGGTTAGTTCAGCCGAGCGCCACACTTCATCTGGGTCAGGGATCCAGACCCTCGTGTACTGAAAGACGAGAAGGAAGGAGGCTTAGATACAAAGCAAAGCATCCAACCCTCAAAGCACGTGTCAGCATCGATGAAGTTTGTCGGAAAAATATTTGACAGCACCATCCACATACCACGCTTCCCTTTAAAGACACAAGATGATTCAGTATTATAAATGATAAATATTTCATAGGATTAATTTAAAATGGCACCCTCTCAATCTTAAGAAAACATGACAGTGACATTAAAATTCTGCTGGGGAGACAGCTCAGCACAGGCTTAGTTCTAACGATGAGGGTTTTACACCACCCTTTCAAAAGGAGACACAGACCAGCAGTCAAAGGATGAGACATGTTATAATTAACAAAATAATACCGGCCAAACGCAGGGAAGCACAGTAAAGCTGCACAGTTTGGGTTACGCTGTTCTGATAGTCTACATTCAGTGGAAGTGGCCAGAAAGTCAAAGGCACCCTTAAACACTGTTAATGGTATGAATCCAAAATGTTGTAAATGATTTGGGGCCCTGGTCCTGCTAATCCAGGAGGCCCTGACCCTTTAGGAGGCTGGGCCTAGCTGAAAGTATGACACTAGTGGACTAGTTGGGGGCAGGGGTTTGTAAAGGTTATACCTGCCTCCATCCCCCGCCCTGATCCAGCCACTGTCTTCTCGCTCTGTGGCCCACCATGATGTAAACAGCCTCCACCACACATTCCTGCTGCTATGATCTCAACTGCTCTGCCATGCCTCCGCTGCCATGACGACCAGCTCTCTAAAACTGTGAGCCAAGACAAATCTTTCCTTACTCAAGTTGCTTCTGTTGGCCTCTGCCACAGGCACGCAAAATCAACTAATGTGGGCCCCTTGAGTCATCGCCCATGAACAATAGTTACTTGTATATTTAAGCCACAGACAGTACAAAATTCTCAGTCACTCCAGCACTGCCCTATGAAAATAAAGTCATCCAACCTGGCCTAGTCCCGGCAGGGGAGGATATAACCGTTCTTGTCAAGGGGTGATACGGGAGTGACCTTCAATGATTGTTGACCAGATGCTCAGTCCTGGTTACATGTTAGATAATGTAGAGAGCTTTGCAACCATCAAGTCTGGGTTAACTCAGACCAAGTCAGCCAGGCAGTTTCCAAGGGGGGACCAAGCATTTGGCACACAGAACGGCAGCATCCAGACCTACTGCCATTGCTCCCGATCGCACACTTTTCATAGATGCCAAACTGCTGGGTTGTTGCTCAGGAAGGAGATTTCTCCAGGGTTTGTTTTAGAAGCCATCCCTGTGTGCACCTGCATATACATACACTACATTGTTATGCCACATTGTATTAACAAACCTAAATGGCCCTTTTGACCAAAGGGTGAACCCTGTGCCTGGGTCAGCATAACTCATGCATCAACTCACAGCCAGGCAGCTGCTGTGTACCGTAACCAGCCAGCTTTCTTTGGGTCCTGCTTCCATTTTTTTTTAAGCCCATTTTTTTTTCTCCTAGCATACACGGTCCCTTTTATAAAACTAAGATCCTGACTGCCGCTCCATTTGTCTCTAATTCACCCGAGCCAAGTCCTATGGCGACAGGATCAGAACATGAACGAGAAGAAAACAGATGTCAGTCCACCCTTGACATCCCAACCCAAGTCATTTCTTTTTAAAGTTAACAAAGAAACAGATGCGTAGGATCGTAGTCTCTGTGCCCCGAGGCCAACCTTACCGAGTATTGATGGGAGAGTCTTACAGGACAGGACAGTGCAGTACAGTACAGAAGAGACCTGCATGGGACCAGGTGTAGAAAATAGAGCCCATCCCCTCCTCCACCGCCCCAATTCCTCCTTCCCTCCGGTGTTCTCACTTGGCTTCACCACCGTCCTCTAAGCCCACCGTCCACCCAGCCGCAATAACCAGCAAGGTGCTGCCCCAGAGCTTTCCAGCGGCGGACTTTCTTCAGCCGCACTGCAGCTCCCTCTGGCTGCTACGTCCCTCCTGGCAGTCCACCCCAAACTTCTACTCAAAACAAAGCCTCTCCAAGGGCAGGGCCCAACAAAGGTTGCCCATAACAGAATGAGAGATAACCGAGGAGCATGGAGGCAGCCTAGTAGAAACTGAGTGGAAGTGAAAAGCCACAGGGCCTGGTCTCAGTTCAGCCAGTGACTCCTGTGGCCTTCGGCCCACTGCCCATGTGCAGAGAACTCACTACCTCTGTTCCCTCCCTCCTCTGGGTGGGTTTGTCTTTCTACCCATGTCGCTTTCTCCTTGCTGAACAGGCTGGAAGTACCCAGTGAGCAGAAAGTCACCCTCTGTATTCTGTAAGCACCAGGGCACTTGGGGGACCCTTGTGGTTCTCTATTTGGCTCCTTTCTCCTCCATGTGAGGACTTTAGCATCACTGTCAGCCAGAGCCATGCTAGAAATGCAGAAGCTCAGCCACCATCAAAACCTGCAGCGCCATACCCTGACATCTGTCCTGATCACATGCTCTCACACACCCTTGCTCCGACAAAAGCATCAGTAAACTGCAGCTAGGAGCCGCATCTGGCACTGTGCCTGTCTGTGTACGACCCATGAGTTTAAAAATGCCTTTAAACTCTAAAATGAGAGGATCAAAAGACTACTATTCAAAGAACATGGAACATTTCATGAAAGGTTAATTGTGGTGTCTACAGCTAATGTTATTTTGGGACACAGACATGCCTGCTCATTTACATATTATCTCTGACTGCTTTCACACTTCAATCATTGAGCTGTCACGAATCCTATGGCCCAGTGCCTAGAATATGTAATACATGACTTTGACAGGAAGGAGTGTCAACTCTCTTCTGTACTTGCTGCTTTCTTGGGCCAGACTGTCCATTCCCCGCATGTACATGTAGACAGATTCCCCGATTCCAACACCCGTTCACTGAATGCAATCATCACCTGTTCATTGGATGCCATCATCATCTTCTCATTGAGAAGGCTATCAACCTGTGAGCTGCCATAGTGGGCCTGTCTCTGATTAACTTCCTTTCTGGCTTCAGTCATTTCTTTCAAGTGAGTTCATCTCATTATTGCAAGATCTTCTAGATACATTACTCTGCATCCTTAGCATCCAGCACATCCAGTGGATGGTCTCAGTGATTAAGAGATGGAATGTGTCTTACAAGGGAACCTGGTTTTACCTAAAATGTATTGCCCTGAGCACTACACAATCAAGTACAGACATGGAAACCAATTGCCCAAGCTTCAGGAACCTATCTAGTAGGGCAGGCGATGCCCATCGGAATATAGTTGAAGGAGTGATGGGACAACCCCTAAGAGGGGTGTGGTTAACAGCTGCTGGGTCCATGCAGAAGACGACAGGGGAGGGCAGGGAAGGCAATGCTGGCTGCAGAAGAAGAACAGGGCAGCTGCATTCTAATGTGGCTCGAGGACGGCATTGCATATTCAGATCCGATGAGGCAAACTCCAGAGGCAAATCCAGTAAACACTTGGCACCTAATCTGTGCCAGCTCTGTGCCACACGCTGCCATAAATCTCTTCAGTGTCCCTCCAGTAACAACCTGTGTGACGTTTCTCCTCTATTCCAAATGCGGGGTGGCTACATCTGCAGGCTGGCTTCCCTGGGCCTCTTGCCCCTAACGTTTACCCTCTATGGGCCACTCCCCTTGAAGTCCTACACATCACTGAACAGGGTCCTTCACCCAGCGTCGTACTCAGCTCGCCCAAGCGGCAATGTACAGCATGTTCGAGGGCGATTGACCGATTCTCCGACTCTGCATTCTAGCTTTGCAAACGCCGCCCCCACACTTGCCCACGTGACTTAAGATAAGCATGGCCTCTGAAATATGCACAAAGTATTATCAGCACAAAGTCAACAACAAGAAAGCAGATCCCCAAACTGAAAAGGGAGAGACAAGTGTCCCAGTAACTAGCGAGGGCTTGAGAAGGGAGGACAGCCAGGTGTGACGGGGCTTTGGAGAGGAAAAGGATTTGAAGGAGACATGTCCTCTCAGAGTGATACAAATGCTACATATCTAGACAGAGCCGAGTATGCTAAATATGACTTCAAGCGGTTCCTTTTATATTCTACTCATTTCCTTTCAGTTAAAACAATGTGAGTATAAAACCTGGAGTCACTGCAGAAGCCAGGTAAGTGAAAAGGGACCATGGGTAGGGGGAGAGCAACAGAGGGGAGCAGCAGGCTACAGGGGACTTGAAGAGGGGAAGGAGCAACATGGAGAGATAAATACAGGAAGAATGTATGCCAAAGTCATAAGGAAGCATACTGTTATCTCCCTGCCTAAAATTACATATCATATATATATATATATATATATATACATACATACATATATAAAATTACATATGTATGATGTATAATTTTAGGTAGGGAGATCACACACACACACACACACATACACACATACACATATATACACATACATATACATACACACACACAGTTTAAATGAAATCTTCCCATATGGGCTGACAACGCTACCTCTAAGGGCTGTTGACTAACATGAGAATCCCCCCTTTTGAGTTGTTGGTTAGAGTTTTCCATGAGACTCTCAAAACATTATGGGCTATTGCCCTTGGCTGCCCCCAGAGATGGAGGGTAAGTCCTTATTGCTGAAGACATCATGCACTTCAGATACAAGACCCAGAGGAGCGGAGTTGGAATTGACCTAAAAGCCACCTCCCGGAGGACCAGCTTTCATGGTACCAGAAAGAGCCATGCCATCTTCCAAGGGAAAAGAGAAATGGTCTTCCCCAGAGAAGAGGCCCACAACTGTTTATCTAATACCAAGTGATCAGCTGGGAGATTATATACACGCAGGTAACATCATAGACTGAGCAGGTTGTATTTGTGTACTAAGGAATATATACATGTCAATAACTAAAGAGACCTTGAATTTGAGAGGGAGTTGGGTGTGTGCATGGGAAGGGTTAGAGGGAGAAAAGGGAAGGGGGAATGATGTAATTATGATTTTAAAAATTATAAAAAACAAGCAAACAAACAGCAACCCTCCCC